TATCCCCCTCAAGTACATTAACCGCGTAATTAAAACTCGGTTATAGCAATGGTCGCCACCGTCTGGGCTCTATGGTTGATCGTTAAGTATAAATGTAGAGCATCGAAAGTATGAAACAGTTTTAATTTTCGCCATTTGCTTCTGGTGTTACTGATTCAGTCTTGTGTTTAACATCGCATGTATTTCAAGATATTTAAGATAGTAAGGCGTCACGAACGACAAATTCACGCGCAAAATAAAGTCAACATGGAGATTCACGCGCGTGACAACGGAAGCTGTTCCACGCAACAGCTGCAAACGCTGAACACACGTGAGACGCGTACGGCACGAGCTGTAGCGTATATCACGAGTGAGTGCTCGTGATTTTTAATTCGTTACTAATGGCAGCCTCCCTGGCTGAGATGCATACTGATTGAAAAATATACATTTTTTGATAATCACTTATACCCTCTCGCCGAGACTGTGATATTCCTTAATTTATCCCTAAACCCATTTATTTACTGCTGGTGATGTAAAGACGTAGGTGAAAAATCTGGCTTGCTGTAAAAGGAGCAAAATATTTACCTTCAATTACGTTTATCAGTCAACGAAGTGCTGGACAGAAAAGGTTCACCAGAGACAGTTCCTTGAAGAGAGAAGAAGAACGCCTTTACATCTGTAAACTTAAAATACTGCCGCTGAGCCTGCTTCTCAAATGCGGCGGATCAAACTGGATAATAGAGACTGTTTACAGCTACCAACAAATTAATTCACGGTAGAGGCATGAAACTAATCAAAATAAAGATTACTTAAAAGTACTCAATATCGACCAAATGATAGCAAGATCGGTGTAAAAATATAAATTAAATTGCCTTTTACGAGGGAGAACTCTTCAACCCGTTGAAAATAATCAGCTATCGTTGATTGCACTGAGACATCGTGGGATAAAGTGAGCGCTAAACTTTTTGAGGTTATTCGTATTTTTCACATTCTCAGAAAAAAACGCATATTCTCTCTCTTTCTTTCCAACTGGAACACACCCCTGAGTCCTAAGTAAGCTATGTTGGACATCAAAGTAGATCACTGAAAAGCGCAGAGCATTGCACTTTTATAGAAGGTGTCAATGGGGTGATTGTGGTCTGGCCAGTGTTTCTTTTGACGAACCTGACTACAGTATTTCACCACTTTAAATTTTGAATATTGCAAGAACTATGCTCTCTCCCACTGAACTTGGCCACAGCCATTTCATTGATGAGTCTTGTAGCTGTTACTGTCGACTACTCTATGTCCCACGCCTGAATAGTCGCTGACTGTTTCCCAAACGACTACGGCCCTGATTCCTTCTTCTAGTACACTCGCGAGCAACGTATCCAGAGCTACCCCAAACGAAACAATAGTCACGGTCCTCTCCTCTTCGACGCTCTTCACAATCATGACAACCCCAACTTGGGGTTCTCTGGTTGGTAACTACTTCCATGGCCTCTGCAGGGGGATCGGCCCAAGTTTGGTTTTGTCGTCTGACCGCTTTGAGGTCGTTAATCTCTGATTTCATCTGCCGTATTTCAGAGACAATCTTTTGGCTCCCGTCTGAACTTGGGTTCCTTGCTCTCTGTTCCCCTCCCTCCTTAGGAACTTCGCAAGCGTTCAGTTTAGCCCTTTTTTGGTGTTCATTTGCCAATTTTGTGGTTCGTTCATCTTGCTGTGAAGCTAGTGCATGAACTTGTTTCATAAGTTCATCATCGTTTATCCCTGGGGTACGAAGGGTCATTCTTAATTTGGATGCTAAAATATCATCACAAAGACCAGATTCGAAGGACTTTACAAATGTCTTCTGAATCAGCGAAAGGCCATAATAAAACACACAATCCGATTCCTAACAGGCGAAATTTACTTTACTGCGCAGGCCCAAAGCACGGAGTAGGAATTGCTGTGGTGATTGTTCTAGAAACACTTTTTTTCTTGTT